GTTGTGTTGTTAGGAGTAGTGCCTCGATGCGTTGTTGTGTTCTCACTGTTTGACTGAAGCTGAGCTGCTTCTCTCTCCTCAAGGTGAACGAGTCCGTCGAGGTTTTGGTTGAAAACGTGAACGATAACCCCCCCAACTTTGCTCAGAACCACTATGTGCTGGATGTGAATGAGGTGGGCTGCACTGCTCTTTCATGCTTGTAGAACAACATGTGTTTGTGTTTCCTCTTTAAACCATTTTATGTCCTGCAGCTCATTCCGGTCAACTCCAGTATTGGTCTGATAGAAGCCACAGATGTTGATTCACAGCCGCTGTATTATCGCTTGGAGACAACAACAGTAAGACAAGACAAACTATGTCCAAATGACTATGATGAAGTTCGGACGCATTTAGACGAATGAATGGAATACATGCATCTGCTATTTGTTTACACCACACTGATCTGTGAGGCCCAGGCTCCACATGAATCAACTTCTCTTGGACAAAACTATGTCTATGACTAAAGCTTCATTATTAACAACGGGAAGAAAAGTGTAAAGGTTCCCTCAATTGCTAACCTCTGATGGACCTTTGAGCGTAGCCTTTGTTCAGGCTTCAGGCCACAAAATCCAAGTGAGATCAGCTGATCTGTCTCTGTCGGTTTTCTTCAGGACAAGTATTTCCGCTTGGAAAACATCAATACTCCAAAGATTCTTGTGAAAACCGTCCTGGACTACGATGTTGTACAAAAGATCTCGCTGGTCTTACACGTGCAGGTACAGTAATGACTTATGAAAACATCCAGCATGGGTCTGTTTTTTCTGTAAAAACCAGTCTGAAGTCTGCTTCTTACAGGATACGTTCAACGGTTCAGCTTCCAACAAGCCCTTCTTCACCTCTGTGGCCACCATCACAGTGCGTGTGAAGGATGTGGACAACCGGCCCCCGTGGTTTCATCCATGCACGAGGACAAACTTAGGAACTGCTAAACTGTGTGTGAGCAGCGGCTACAGAGGCAAAGTCAACCTCACAGAGAAACAGGTGCGGTCTGATTCTGGCGTTTACATCACAGCAAGAAAAGAAATGTGCTTCACCTGAACAGGAAGTCGCTCACACGGCTGACATCTCTGGGCCTTATTTTAATTATGCAAGAGCCATCGTGCTATTCTAGCTCATATAGAAAAAGGTTAAAAACCTTATTATACAGGGGAAGTTCATATTTGATATGATGTCATGAAAACACATTTATCATCTAAAAAACTGGTTTTCTGTATAAAACATATTCTTTATTTAACCAAGTACAGTTTCACGACTATATGAAATGTATACCAGTCTGTGCTACTTTGGACAAAGAGTGTGCACATCCAGGCAAACACTGTTACTTTAGCTGCTACACAGAAAAATCAAATACACAGGAAACAGGACAAAGTGTCTTAAGTCTGTACACTGCACAGACATTTGAGGGTCACAATAACCTTCATGCTGTTTTAAATACATTTGTTATCTGGGGAGGGAATAATGTAAATGATTAAACATTTTCAGAAATGTTTCCATCGAACCCTGAAAAAGGATAAGCGGAAGCGAATGGATGGATGGATGGTGTTTGCCAGTATTTATTCAGTGATAGTAATATTAACGGTAATGACTTGTGAAATCAGTCAGTGTGGACGACACACGATAACAGCTAACCGGTCGCAGCAGATGGCCCCGCCCCTCCCTGAGCCTGGTTCTGTTGGAGGTTTCTTCCTGTTAAAAGGGAGTTTTTCCTTCCCACTGTCGCC